GTTAATTTTTATAATCCATGAACATGGTATATGTTTCCATTTGTTTGTGTCTTCCCTGATTTCTTTCCTCAGTGTTGTGTAGTTTATTATATACAGGTTTTTTACCTCCTTGGTTAGGTTTAGTCCTAGATATTTTATTTTTGTTTTTGATATATCAAATAGGATTCTTTTCTTGATTTCTGCTTCTGCTGTTTCATTGTTGGTATAGAAAAATGCCTTTGGTTTCTGGATATTGACTTTATATCCCACTGTTTTGCCAAATTCATTTATTACCTCGAGCAGTTTTGGGGTAGAGTCTATAGGATTTTCCATGTATACTATCATGTCATCTGCAAACAATGACAGTTTTGATTTGGATACCTTTTATTTTTCATTTCTTGTCTGATTGCTGTGGCTAAAACTTCCAATACTATATTAAATACAAGTGGTGGAACTGGACAACCTTGTCTTGTTCCTGATCTTAGTGGGAAAGCTTTTAGTTTTTGCCCATTGAGTATGAAGTTGCCTGTAGGTGTCTCATATATGGCCTTTATTAGATTGAGGAATGCTTCCTCTAGTCCCACTTTGCTGAGTGTTTTTATCATAAATGGGTGTTGTACCTTATCAAAAGCTTTTTCTGAGTCTATTGATATGATCATGTGATTTTTGTCTTTGCTTTTGTTTATGTGCTATATTACATTTACTGATTTGGGAATATTGAACTATCCTTGCATCCCTGGGATGAATCCCACTTGGTCATGGTGAATGATCTTTTTGATGTATTGTTGGTTGCGACTTGCCAATATTTTGTTGAGGATTTTAGCATCTTTGTTCATCAGCGATATTGGCCTGAAGTTCTCTTTCTTTGATGTATCTTTATCTTTGTTTAGGATTAGGATGATGCTGGCTTCATCAAAAGAGTTTGGGAGTCTTCCATCATTTTGGATTTTTTGGAACAGTCTGTGAAGAATAGGGGTTAGCTCTTCCTTAAATGCTTTGTAGAATTCTCCTGGGACACCATCTGGTCCAGGGCTTTTGTGTGTAGGGAGACTTTTGATTACTGCTTCAATTTCATCTGCTGTTATTTGTCTATTCAGGCTTTCTGCTTCTTCTTCATTGAGTTTTGAAAGATTATATTTTTATAGAAATTTGTCCATTTCACCTAAGGTTTCAAATTTCTTGGCATGTAGTTCTTCATAGTAACTTCTTACAATCTTTTGTATTTCTGTGGTATCAGTTGTAATCTCTCCTCTTTCATTTCTGATTGTGTTTATTTGTGTCCTCTCTCTTCTTTTCTTGATGAGCCTACTTAATGGCTTGTTAATTTTGTTTATCTTTTTAAAAAACCAGCTCCTGAATTCATTGATCCTTAGAATTATGCTTTTAGTCTCTATGTCATTTAGTTCTGCTCTGATCTTGGTTATTTCTGAAGAAGTATTCTTATTTACTGTGTTCTCAGTGGCACAAAGAAACTTTTAGATAAGAGCGCCTAACAACAGTAGAGGCTCTATAAATATTTGTTAAATTGATGAATGAGTGTGCCTTATATGTAATAATGAATATTATTCAGAGTTCAGAATATTATATGAGTTGGTTGTTTTTGCTTTGTGACTGCATTGTACATCATAATTCAGATATAACTGGAGAGAGTGTGAAGAACAGAAAGTATCTCCTCCCACACATGATATCACAGTGCCTGAGAGGAATAAGGATATAGATGTCTGTTTCTTTTATACAGATGTATTTCATCCAAATCCTAGATTTTAAAAGCCTTTTACAAAGAAACAATTTCTTATTCCAAGTCTCTTATTTTAAGGAGGAAAACTGAGGCTCCGAAAAGTTTAGTGGTTAACTATCTGAAGACAGAAACTTATTTAAATATACTTGAAGATTTAAATATCAAAAGTACTGTTTTTATTTATAACCTTGAATTTGCAGAAAGTGGTTTTTCTGATAGCAAAACACTTCTCTGCTGAAATAAATATTTCTAGCTAAAAGACAAGAATGTAATGTCATGCATATCATGCATGTCATGCATTCTCACCATTGATAGGGCTGCTCCTTTTTATATACAAAATGTAAAGCTAGTTGAGACTTGAAGAACTTTCAACTATAATAACAAAATCAATACATGAACAATTCTACTAGTGCTAACTTTGTATAGACAAAGATTTTTCATTGAAGTATCCTTACTAAACTGAGGGTTAGCATTTATACAATGCAGGTTTCAAGGAATGAAGGAGTTAAATATGAATATTATAAAAATCTGTAAAAACAATGTGAAATACTAGTTCTAACTATTATTTAACTGTCCGCTCCTCTGAAATACAGCATGGACTGGATCGCAAGGAAGCTGCTTACCTGTGGAGAGAGAACTGGCGCCCTGCTGTGGTGCAAGGGCTCCAGTGCCACTTATGAACGAGTGACTTGTCTCTGTCAGCCTTCACTCTACATTTAAAAAATTAGGGATAATAAACTAAACCTCTGGAGATCTCTGCCTGCACCTACACACAGAAGATCCTGACAAGGGACAAGGTGGTCCACATTCAACAATTTAATTCAGCTCCAAGCTCTGTGAGGTAAGAGACAGTTAAATGGGGGTTTTTCAGAGCTTTCCAGGGCAGGATTTCCGGTGTGATTTAAGATGAGCTTTGCCCTAGATGATGATACTAATTTTCTCTGTAGAGATTATTTTTTTAAGGTACACTTTCTATCATAAGCTAAATTTCCAAGTCCTTTGCAATTTTTTGTGGTGCCAGAGATACTGTACTGCCTAATAAATAGGATTCAGGAGAGATATTCCTATTATAGGATTCCATTAAATACATTCATAGTCTAATGGACTACTTTAGATTAAAGGGAAGAAAAAAATATTTTCCAGTTTCTTTGGGAAGATTCCTGTGTTCCTTGAAACACTTTAATGCTACTGTGTGAAGGTCACTCTCAAATCAGGTAATTACCATGTAGAAATCCTGTCATGTGATTGGATTTTCACATCATTTGAGTAGAAAGAAAAAAAGGAGTTCCAAAAATATGAATCAGGATCATTTGAAGGAAACATTTTTTGTAGAACCATTCATATCCATCCTGCAATTGTAGCAACCATGGGAAAGGCCTACAGCCAGTATCCCCAAGGCAGGAGAGCTGTTGGTCAAATAACATACTTATTCATCCAGCACATTCTTAGGGGTACTTACTATACTTTAGGCATTGCACTTGAGGCATTGTGCTAGGAACTAAGGATAAAAGAGTAACTCAAATAGGTGTCTTTACCTTTATGGAGCTTTCAGTCTGTCAGGAGAAAGCAGTTCATCACTTTAGATAAGTGCTAAGAAAGAGAGATATTGGAAAATATCAAAGGCTGTAGATGGGGACTCTGATTAGTCCAGAAAGGCATGTGCCATATTCTTTTTACAAATATAATTCAATTTTGTTGTACTTCGAAACACTTAAGCTTTATAAAATGCCAACTGAAGTGTTGTGTGCCATCTCTTAGAATCCTTCTCCCATGTTATCCTGGACTGGTCTCTTCATTGGTTGCTTTCATAGTCTACAGATGACCCTTCCTTAGAAACTTCTATTCTGGTAGAGGACTTATCTTTTCAGTACCCTCTGCTGATGATTCACTGGATCCCTGTTAGAAGTTTGGAAACAACAACAACGACAAAGCTCTTTAAATATTTAACTGCCAGGGGGTTAATAGTGGGAGCCATATTTTGAAACATAAAAAATTAGAAAAGAGATTTTATTTCCTGAATATAAAAGAAAAAGTGTTTGTTACTTGAGTAACAACTGTTCTACTTTTATGTTCCTTTCAGTTTCTGGTGATAAAGACACCCAATTGTCACTAGAAGATAAGGCTTTTTTAGATCCAGAAGAAGAATCCTGCTTTCTTTCTTTCTTTTTTTTTTTCCCCTTTCCTTTCCTTTCCTCACCACAGCGGGTCCTGTAATTAGTGGAGCAAGTCAATCTGAGCTAACCTACGCAAATCACTGGTTTTCCACGAAATGATTATATTTCTCTTGCTCCCAGACATGTGCACCTCTAAACCTGAAAACAGAGAGAGATGTTTTTCTTTCATGTGACGGGGGCAGGGAGAAGAAAAGTGGACGTGACAGGGGAACAGTGAGTGAAACCATTACAAGGTGGAAAAGAAGCGAATTCGGTAGGGGAGTGGGAACACTGAGTTCTGCACAGGACGTTTCAGCGCTCAGTGAGAAAGCCCTGAGTAAGATCTGATAACTTTCTGGGCGGAAACAAAATGAGGCTTTTTCAAACTTTCTGTGAGGTCCCTAGAGCCCCGGAATGGGTTTGGGGCCCCTGAGCCAGGGCTGGGTTGGTAGCACCCCCGCGCCTGCATGGCTCTGTGTCCTCTCTTGACCTCCATAGAGTCTGTGCTCACTCCCGCTCCCCAAGCCCCAATGGACCAAGGCGTCCTCTTAGAGAAGGCTTCGTTGTCAAAAGCGCCACGCGTGGGTCAAGCCGGCCACTTCACTGGATGGACACCCGACGCTGCCTCTGGGGCGGGGACAGCTCCTGCCACCTTGTGCCCGGCGCAGCAATTCCACCCAGAGCTCGCTAGCTACTGGGGTGGTGGATCTCAGCGCACCGTGTCCTTGAGAGGGAAGTGCAGCCACCGCCCACCCTGCCCCTGGGGTCCCGTCACCCATAGGCTCCAGCAGGTGAGCAGTGCCCTGGCCCGGTGCTCTGTCCCCTTGCCCAGAGGCACAGGCACTGCGCCCGCCCTGCTCCCCCCCCCCTTCCCTCCCGTGGGCCGCCAAGGGCAGGGACTGCAGCTGCTGTCGGTGAGCTGGGACCGTGCATGGGCCGGCAGCCGGCTGCCAAGGACAGCTGAGGGCCGCTGAGTGTGCGCGCGGAGCCAGGCACTGAGCCCGCTGGGGTCAAGGACTGACCTGGTGGGCTGCAGAGACCCGATTCTGCGGTGCTGTTCCTCGCCATGCGCTGAGTGCTGGGGGGCCTGCCTGGTCGTGGGGCTCTCTGGTGCGCTGTGAGCCCAGCCCATGGAGCTGGAAGGCACCTGGAGGAGCCTGCCTGCGCTTCGACCGCCGCTAGTGCTGCTGCTGCTCCTGCAGGTTGCAGGGCCAGCAGGCACTCTGGCCGAGACCCTGCTGGACCCGCCCAGGGCAATGGGCACCAGCTCCAGTCCACCCAGCCCCGCAAGTGTGGTGGCTCCCGGAACGACACAGTACGAGGAGAGTCGGTTGCCCGTGTTCACCCTGGATTACCCCCATGTGCAGATCCCCTTCGAGATCACCCTGTGGATCCTGCTGGCCTCCCTGGCCAAGATCGGTGAGTGAGCTTGGACCAGCAGGGTAGGGCAGAGGCGATAGGGAGGGGAAGATTGGGTTGGAGAGTTGATGTTTAGATCTTGGATCCCGTCCTCCCAGTGGCCAAAGGCAGGGGCGACAGACAGATTAGTTTCTTCTGGTAAAGAAGGACCCACCCAGGGGGTGATAGTTTCCTGGTTTGGGTTCTTTTTTTTTTTTTTTTTTAACCAGCCTTTTTAAAATTTTTAATTTATTTTATTGATTACGCCATTACATTTGTTCTATTTCCCCCCCTTAATTCCCCTCCACCTTGCATACCCCTCCCCCACCAGTGAAAGGACAGCAAACTCACAATTATTAACAACCACACCTAAAATAAAAGCAAATTAAGAGGACAGCTAGATCAGGAGTGAACCATAGAAATGGTTTGGGTTCTTAAGTGGCCTTGAAATGGCCCCAAATATTAGCCATGCACACTTAGCAATTTGCTGGTTACTTCTGCCCAGTTAGCCAAGTGTGACAGCTTACTGCCAAAGCTGAGACCTGTTTTCTGAGGAAGGAGGCCAGTGGGCTGAAGTTTATTGCCCTCATTTACTGGGAGACAGGAGCGGGGGAGCACAAAGGCTAAAATGGGTTAAGCCCTGGATCCTGGAAGGGACAGGGCCTAGGACCCAGCGCCTGGCATGCACCTGACTGACAATGTGCATGAAAGGGAACTGGGGACACCTGAGTGCCTGCAGCTGGGGCAGGAATGCTCTACCTCTTCCCTTCTGTGGGCTGAGGCTTAAACTCTCCAGGAAGCCTTTTTTTAGGTGACAGAGGCCAGTGAGGTGAGATGCATCCTTAAAAATAATTAACCTACTTTTCAAACAACTTTCAACTCTCATTTGGAAAACAAAAGACTCAGAATGTATTCTCTTACCTTCATCCTCCCCCATATCCTGCAAACTTTTGTTATGATTGTGGTGCTTTATATTGTTTTTGCTTTACATTGTTTTTACTTTACATTTTAAACAGTTTTTATCTTAAACCATGCCAATTGCTGTTGTAATGATTCAAATTATTAGATAAAAAAATTATGCACTATTACTTATGTTTTATACCTTTGCATTGTGAAAGGTCTTGTGTTGTAAGATAAGGCAGGTTTCCATGAAGGATGAAAAGACTCATTGACTTTCACACTCAAGGAGCTTGTTGATTGGTGGGAGAGATGACATACATGTCATGATAATAATTCAAGAAAATGCTAACTAGGGTGAGAAATTCAGAAAAAAAAAAACATGGCAGTGTAAGGAGTCAGGAATCTCTTCCTCATGCAAAGGAAGTGTTTAATCTGGGTTTTCAAGGATGGCCAGGATATAGTTAGTCAGTTGGAGAAGAAAGGAACCCCCATTCCAGAGATACATAAACAAAGACATAACTGGGAGGGAAGTGCAAAGCAGGTGGAAGGGATGGCTTATGGGAGGGTAGAAATTGTTCAAATAAGCCTGAAGGAAACCTTCCATGTCAGATTAAATTAATTATATTCTGTTAGTGGTGACCAAAGGAGGCACATGCTATTTAATGATTTTGCCACCTATAATTGTCAGTGTTTTAATTTCACCTGAGAAAGAGAATAAGAGGAAGTGAATTTCCCCATTTATCAAGCCAGATATACACATTTACATAAACTCCTTACCTATTATAATAAACTCAAGTGTCATCTCCTGGTATGGTCCTCACAACAACTCAGCCATATAGGAAGGACAGGTATTAATACTCCCACTTGGCAGAGGTGGAAACTGAAACTCAGAGCATTTATATGTGTTGCTCACAGACACACAAAGTAGGGGACAAGACGCAGGCTCTATTCTCTGCATCACTGGAGGAGTGCTTTGTGCCTTGTTTCCATTACTGCTTCTCTGCTGCCATTTCTATTCAATTACAACTCTTTCTTCTGTTCTTCACTCCTGAATATTTTAATCTGATTAATTACACTAATAACAGCTGCAAGTAGACACTTAAGTTCATTATATCTAATTTTCACAACCATCCTGGATAGGTATGATTACCTGGTTTCATATTTGAGGAAACTGAGAAATGGGAAGGCTAACTTGCTGGAGGGAAAGCCAGGATCCACCTAGGACTGATGGCCTGATGTCTAATCTTTCTGTTTAACCCAGAGTTTCATTTTGTTATGAAAATTCAATGAGAATAGACATGTATAACATTCTTAGAATAATGCTGAGCATGGTAAACATGATGACATGCTCAGACAATGTCATCACTAGTAGAAGGGTAGTGACAGTGGCAGTAGTGACCCTGAGAATTGCTGCCACTGAAGGTCATTATCCACTATGCTGGGTTGCCTGTTGCCATTCTCTACTTCTGTTTTAGGCTTAGCTTCCTCCAAGTGTTCTTATTCTGTGGGTTGCCTTTTCTTTTCTTTCTTTTTTTTTTTTTTTTTTACTTTTTTTCTGTCCCGATCTCTTCATTTTACATGACCTTACACATTAATTGTGTGGTATTTTATTAAAATGCATTCATGCTTGTATGAGGACATAGGTATGTTGATCTACCTGTTGGCAGTTGTCCTATGTAGATTCTATTTCTGGTCCCTGGCACTTGCCGTTCTCCAGATCTGTAAACCTCCCCCAGATGCTGAACTTCTCTGGCTACTATTCCTTCTTTCCTTTCTTCATCTGAGTTGGCACAGATTTGGAAATGAAGACAGATATTCACACCTCTTGGTCAGAAGGATCTAAGCAGAGAAGGGCCTCAGTGGAGCCTGCCACGGATAGGGGGAAGTGGTGGTTCTCAGAGCAGAGACTATAGTTTTAGAGTTCCCAGAGCTAGTGCTTGAGGTCTTTTCTAGATTCTTCCTATTGTATATAGTCTAGCTCTGTCTTCTGCAGCAGCTCTGTTTCTAGAGGAGGCTGGAAATGCTCAGAGATGTCCCCCACTGTATCCCCCAGGCCGTAAATTTTCTGTCTAGCTTTGGTGATGACTGTTCTGGAACTGTGAGGCACTTTCACAACCCATTAAGTAGTCTTGTAGTCATTCAAATTTTATCTTAACTTTTGCAATGAAAACCTATTATTTGGGGTGACTTGTATGACTTAATTTGGGGAGGATCATAAACTGAGCTGTGCAGAGGGACATGATGCTATGAAGCAACAGTGATATTAACTCATGGAAAATGACATGGTTTCTATTTGGGAAACTTTCATGCCATGTACCTAGTGTATCTGAACTTAACTGTCCCAGAGATTATGGGGACAAACATCGTAAGTGATTAATCTAAACAAGATTAAACAGATTGCCCCAAATGGAGGCTTCTAATAACATTTGTAGGAGGTTCAAGTCGCTATGTTATACACCTGAAACTAATATACTCTACATCAACATTAATTTTAAATCATGCCTGATGATGAATTTCCAATAGTTTTCTAGATTATAACACAATGTAATCTTAGAAAATTTGCGATCAGAAGTGAGAAAGTGCATTTTTGGCAGATTGTTGAATGAGTCAACTTAACTTTTCATTGTTTTACTTGATTATTAGGGAAAATAAACTTTCAAATTATTTGGTAAAAAAAGGTTCTGTAGTAATAAAGTTTCCTAACATGATGATGATAATGATGTGTATGTGTATATGAAGTAGATTAAATAAATAAAAAAACATTAAAAATTTAACACAGTTTTGAAAAGTTTTTAAAGTTTGGCCAGAAATATCTCCCCAATGTATTTTTCATTTCAGTCCTCACACATGTTTTTTCATTTTAAATATTTATGTTTTGAGTAACTGTTTCTTTAAACAATGTAAGTGCACACTTTGCTTGGTAAATTCTGTACCCAGTGATGGAGTTCTACAGCCTGAAAAAAAAGAAGCCACAAAATTAAGAAGAGAAAAATGTTCCTGCAGTGTTCTAAGATTGTCTTCTCTATTTTTCTTGCCTGTAAAATGGGTCAGTGGGATTTGTACTAAACTGGGTGAATTTAGGCATGCATTCTACTTCAATTCAAGGTTCAGGGGCAAAGCACTGGGTTCCTGGCTGTTTAAAGTATCAGAAGCCCCTTCTTTGTCCTCAGTGGTTCCTCAGACGCCCCTTCATTTGTCTTGTAGTCTTGTGGAACTGGTCTATTTGACTCTTCCAGGTGTCCACACTCATCCTGCTTTTTATTTTCTTTGCCCTTAAACTTGAGGTTAGAAAATACAGTATTTTCCACTTTCTTCCATCCTGTTGTCTTAAATAGCATGTATTATTATTTTAAGGGAATGACAAAATGATTTGGTCCATGAAAGTTTGTCCTCTTGGATCTATGCTGTCCTGAACTTGAAATATAAAACCAGAGTTTCCTTGGATAATACCTGCCTGAATAACTCAAATATTCATCCCTGGTGGTGGGGGTGGGGGGGTGGGGAACAATTCAACATTTCTTGCCCTTTATCTGTTTCTCTTTGTCATATTTGGTTTTCCTGAAGCATATTCACCACCTGGTTGGTCAGGTTAAGGTCATGGTCTTCACTTATTATTTCAGCATCTCATTTTGAGTATAATTCTAAAGCCTGGTGTTCCTGATGGCATGTGGTTCTTCCTAATAAAGCTAAGAGTTCTTCTTTTTTTTTTGCAAAGTCTCAACCTTTCGCTATTGGGTTAACCATACATTTCTTCTGTTCTGTCTGAAGGATGACTCCAGCAGCTTTCTCATATTCTTTCTAAAGACCAATTCAAGCACTTTATAGAATTTCATCACTGTACTCTACCACAGACACATTTTGTACCTTTTAAAATAATAGAATATTACTACTATAAAATAATATTTCACACCCGAAATGTGACTTTTTGTATTAATTTTAATAATTACAATATTATTTATTATTAATGGGAAGCTTTTTTCCAAAATTTTTAACATATCTTGAAGTCCTAAGGTATATACACAGAATCTTTTGTATAGACTTGTTTGTTCCCTGTAGGGTTGTAAGACTCACCTGTAAAACCAAGTGAATTTGATGGTTTGTATATGGATAGATTTTCACCA